AACATTGAACCGGTTGTAGTTGTATTAGAATATCTACACTTATGTATATATATATATATATATATAATGCCTATTCTTTGATACGCTTGTTCGTTATCTTTTGAGCCAAGTTTTGTGCTCCACGTGAGACCCGCCCCGAACAGACATTGCAGCCAAGTGCCAACAGTTTCTTTGATTCTTGCACGCTTCATTGATGATTAATCACAACGACTTTGCGATTCTCTACATGCAGCAAGGTCAACCAGTTGTTGTCAATGCAATTCCCTTGAGCAATGCCGCGGAAATAAGCGGCCAACTCAGCTTCAATTACGGCTTAAAACAATGAATAAGTTGGCAAGAATTTTCTGAATAGCAATTATTTCAAGCAATGTCTTTAAGTCTCTCTAAAAAACCGAATCAATATTAATATATTATCAATAAAAATTTTAAAATAAAACTCTTAAAAATATATGTGATAGGCTAAAGATTTTACCACATAGCGAGACAGGACAGGAAAACCTTTGCTGTAGCGCAGAATTTGCTCGAAAACTTTCTCAGAGTAAAAAGTTGGGTAATTCTTTTTTCGGCGGAAATATTAAAATTGGATTTCTATTTGCCTCTTGACAACCAAAATTTTGTCTACTTGAATTCGCGGCTTACCTCTACGGCACGAATGTTTAGCACATTTTTTTATTGAACCTCTTGAAGCGCCCCCAACACGCGCTCAGGTGCCAATGCGAAAGAAGTACTCGAGAGCACGGCCAAATATGGAGAATGTGGTTGTAGGTGGCGCTGACTACCTGGCTAGGTAGCGGCGACCAGGTAAACAACAGCCCACAGGCAGTTACAACGATTTACAGCGCGTTGCGTATACGTCGCGTGTGCCGCAATTAATGTATGTTAACTGCGTTGAGTGGTGGGCCTTCGTTTGGTTTGGCGAATGGCCAATAAAAGAACATCGCAACGAAAGTGAGTGGAGCAGATGAGTTGGGGCTTGGGACTGGGTCGCCATATTCAGCCTGTTATCGCTGTTCGGCCTGTGCCGGCTATTATTATTATTTTTTTCTCGCAGCGGGTCGTCAACCTGCCGCAGCGCGGGAAAATGTGTGAAACAGCCGTTTTATGTTTTTGTTGCGTCTGCGCATGACACTGGAGTTTTGCTTCTTTTGGGCAGTGCAGCGGCATGTGCCGCATACAACTCCTCTACCCCTAAATATTTTTCACATATTCACATAAACTTACTGCCGCACCTTGTTTTCGATTTGTAGCTGAACTTTAATTTGGCAGCTGTGCTCTGCTTTGCATAAACTCTTTAACTGTTTTTTCTTGGTCCTTGTTCCTTTTGGTATTGCAACATTAACTTCACACACACACACACACACCGAAAATGTTAACTGCTGTTTAGCCAATTATTTTGTTGCTGCCAGCGTCGCGTGAACAACTTCGTTGGCTTTGACAACTCTGCGCGGTCAACAACTGAACGGCACGAAAGCTCAAACGCAACTGAGCGCGACGTACGCATCGGCTTCTCGGACTCGACGAACGTGAGTGAGCCAGAGGCGTAGAGCGCAGATGGTCGCCAATGCTGAGCGAGGGTCATTAAATAAATAACTGTTCTATATGTTCAAAAAGGAACATACGCAATTTTAGAAGCAGCTAACCCTTATTTTTAATTGGCTTATTGACATAGTTAGCCTTTGCAGCTAACATAAAACTATAAAAATAAGTTTGTCTGTTATAAATCAAAGTATTGCACTGTTATTAAGGATATGCTGTCAGAATGATGTTCCTTTGAAGCAGTTTAGCACTGTTAGCATACTCGCTGTAAACTAACAGCTATGCTAAGCTGTGTTTGCTTATTGCTGTTATACTCAAAATGGCATCATTTAACTGTTACGAGGCAGACTTACGCGCGTGGCTTTTGTTTTGCTGTTCAAAGGCAAAGCTTTTAAAGCTTAAGAAATGCAACAGCTTTTGAATTTGTTTATGCACTGCTTAACAGGGTGTTTGTTTTCTATGCAAAGTGAAATTGATCAAAACTTTTCCTTAACGATAGCTAATAAATATGAAATGTTTACACAATATAAATAAAATAAGTAATTTTGCAGAAAATATAACTGTTTTGCAGACAGTACTTATACGCAACCAGAATTTGACGTAGAAAATCCATACCACGCCGAAAAGTCTTGCATACTTGTAGGCGGTTAAACAATTTTCTGGTACTGGGAAAATTCAGCTTTCCCTACGAATGTTAAATAATGCAAAATGACATATTTATGTATTGGTCCGTTGCATAATTTTTTCGTGGAATGCTGCAGCACAAATAAAGTTACAGGAAAGTAGGCAAATTTACAAAGTGTTTAAAAACTTTTAAATGCTTTTTGCGAAAGTTGCCGTTGCTGGCCATTAGCTCGCCGGGCGCGTCACAAAGAACCCGCCGCTGCCCACAAATCCAATTAGATTGCCGAGCAGCAACAGCAACAGCATCAAGGTCGTGCTGCTGCAGCTGCTGCTACTGCTGCTGCTGCTGCTGCTGTAAAAGAAGTCAGGAGCTGGGCTCAAAGGCGACCGGAGATGCTATATATGCAGAATGCACGACAACAAAGCGCAGGCCAAGTCAAACAATGATGGCTAACAAAACCGCCAGCCACTGACCCAATTATGTAAATGCTATGAATTTTTAAAAGCCTTTTGCGTCACATTGCGTACAGTCGAGAGGGGCAGCCAGTAGCAGACGGGAGCAGCAATCAGTTGAAGTTGAAAGAAGAACTATCATATGACATGGAGATTACGCAATAGGGCAGGATAATTGTGTCGCACTTGTGTGCCTTTTGGCACACCTGAGCCTTATTGGCGCTTAACAACTGCAAAAGGAGCTGAATGGGTATTCGAAAGATGGCATCGCCAAGGTGGGCCACCCACACGCCAATTGGCCAATTGCCATTGCCATGCATATTAGCCAATATCCAAAGCTCGAGTCGCGTTTCAAATAGTCAGCTAATGCGACGGTTGCGGCTGCGTCTGCTGCGCATGTCCTCGGTTCACTCTTCACCTTCCACTGCCACCCACCAGGCACCAAGCATCAGGCACCTGCGACTTCGTTGTCGTGCCGTCTGAGCCGAGGCGCGGACAACAGGTGCTCGGCACGCTGGCCAGGATACGCTCCTGACGCTATAAAAACGCACCAGACTGTCGCCTCTGCCGTTAGTTGCCATTTGCCACGCTGTGGAATTCGATCTCGTGCTCCAATCCCTGAGCTGTGCTTTCAAAACTCTGTGTACTTCCAACATAATGTGCTTAACAATCCTTTAGCCCAAGGCCGAGTATCCCTATAAGGCCTGCAATAAAACTAACACCAATAATGTCGCTTCCAATCTTAAGCTCTAGGCGATGCATTTTACTCTTGATGCTCGCAATGGCAGGTGAGATATGCCAATCATATATTTAAGACAGATTTTTTCCATATGCTATTTGTAATAAAGTGAAAGCTACTTCAGTGAGAATCGAGAAGATCTTATCGGAATGAAAGTGAAATCAGTTTCGATTTCGAAAAGTTTGATCGGAATCAAAGCCTGGAAAATATTAAGATTTTTAGTTAAGATCTCTTAACTTTCAATGTTTATAATTTTAACTAGCAGGTTTTGCCAAATAGTTTTTTTTTCCATTCAATGAGAGATATTTTATATAATTTATACTACAATTTTCAAGTGAACAAATCGCCTAAGAAACAAATTTTGATTCTTTTCTAACGTACTGAAACTTTCGTTTCCCTTGAATTTTCCGCAAAGTGTTAAACAGAAAAGTTTCATGCGAACGTTTTCCGTGAATTTTTCACGCTTGCGGGCGAAATACAAATTTCAGCTTTCTAGCCATTTTAGATCATTCAGAAGGAGTCTAAAATATCAACCCTATATTTCCAATAGAATTCGCGCCTAGCCCCTACACATCACATATGTACATAGTATATAAATCTAATCGTAATCTAATTCACGAGAATTGAAAAAGTGACAAACAAACAGAATACAACTATTCGCGGAAGAAATGTGATAGACATATGTACAAAAAGGCAGCATTGTGCAAACTAGGCGATTTCCATATGATTACATATATAGTAGATATATATATATATATATTTTTTTTTCAAAAGAAAAAGTCGAATAATCGAAGATGCTGCTTTATCTTTGCTAATCGTCCATGTGCTCTTTGAAAAGGCTTTTACTGAAGGCCTTAAATAAACCTAAATAATATATTTATCATCAACTCAATTGACTTGGGTACTACGTGGAAATATTATTTACCTAGCGTATACAAATTAATTCATATATGCTTGTACGTATCTACTCATCTCTGCTTGTACCCATATATATATATATATATATATATCCACTGTAGAGATAAGCCCGAAATGCCCATTAGTTGCGCACTGAGGGAAAACCCATTTCGATTATTTATCATACTCTGGTATAGGGTATTACAATCATGTCATGCAAAATGTAACCCAGTAAGTATATATTATCTTGATCAGCAGCAAGATCTAAGTTCGTTCAGGTTCAAGGCTAAGTCGCCTTGAAACTTTACATAGGTCAGAGATCCGCCACGATCACTATATATATAGCTGCTATTGGTCGAATCGATCGAAGGTAGATTCTTGGAAAAACCCCTATATCAAACTTGACATATGTTGGTTTTACCAAGACATCGGATCACTATATTATATAGTTATGCACGGAACGATCGGCTGGAAATGAAGCACTTGCAAGAAAAAGATTTCTTGACCAAATGGGACATATACTAATTTATATATATATATTATATTATATTATAAAATGCTATATAGCCACAAAATAAAAAAAAAAAAGGAAGAATCTTTCTTTCTTTCTTTCCGTGCGACAAATGTCACAAGGGTATTAAATCTTCGGCGTGCCGAATCATTTTTTTTAGCTGTAACACGAGCAGCGCAAATATCAATTTACCTACTATACATATATATATATATATATATATAATCATTCATAAAATCTGGAAATGATGCAGAGGCAACAGCGTGGAAATCTAACCACATGACCCCGACTTTCGTGCACCTTTTAACTTGATTCGCACATATATCCATGTCAGATTAACGATTGACCTTCAATTAATTGTATTTTATATGTGTATATATCGGCAATTAAAATCTGCAGGGCCCGAACGGAAATTGAACATCCGTTTCCAGGCTACAGAAAATATGAATCCCTGGGGCCACACACAATTAATGTTATTTTGTTGCACAGCGGCGCCAATGCGCCAGGCGCCCATCGAAGCGGAGACGGAGGACGCGCTGGCGACCTGGAACTGGCCGGCGGGCACATCGAAAAACTCTTACCGCGATTTTCTTGACAACGGAAGCCCTTTGCCAAAAATTGAGGCTGTGGAAATGGCGCCCGAATTCGACGATGCCTTGCTGAAGGCTTTTAATTTCCCACTGCTTCCGCTGAACATGCACAAGGGTTGGCGTCTTGGGCATCAACGCTACGATAAGTATTTAAAGGAGCTGCAATTGCATCGGACATGGCTGGACGAACTGCAATCTCCGGCTGATGACTCCACCGCGCGACAGACAAGTGGCACCCAGCTTTGGCCAGCCAGCGAGGACGACTTGCTGGCATTATCCGGTCAACCAGGTTCTGGCTACTCCCGCACCAGACAGCAGCAACAACGTAAACATAAACGCGAGCCGTCCGAGCAGAAGGGTACACGCTACAAGCCGTCCATCAGTGCTGGTGGGTAGCTGAAATGCCAGGTGTGGTGGGGAGCCACGTTTTGCTTAGTGCCACATTCTTTTCCAGGTGTCATGACCAATCTGGGCGACTTCTTTAACCAGCTAAAGGCGAACGTGCACTTTGCGGAGCATTCGCAGCAGCTGGGCGAGGCGGAATCTCAGCTGCTCGAGGGTGTGCATCCGCATCCGCTGCAGAAGGACGACGACGACAAAGAAGAGGATGACGATTATGATTCCGGCCAGCCGCCCGATCGTAAGACATCCAAGCTGCTGCAATCCATACGCAGCTATCGACCCTCGCAGAAGGTACGCTCGCTGGTATCACGCAATCCGAACGGATATCGTGGCTCCCAGTTCATTGATCCCAGCTACATGTGGCTGGGCCTGGGCAAATGACCATAAGCTGCCGCATCCACAGGTTACAACGATTGAGATCCATTTCCAGCTTGCCCGCTTCCCAACTTTTCAAATTCTTATCTGTGTGTACATATACATATATATATATAGATATATTTATATTTAAAGGCAAGCATTAAAAAATGCCCGGAAAAATAGCAAAAAAATATTTGATCCTGTTACAGCATATACGATTATTACGACAGTACGCGTGCACCCTGTGCACACATATATTCATGTATACATATATGTATATATATATATATATGGGTTTTAACATTAAACATTAAATATGATTTTCGTTTCCAAATATTCCCGATCGCTTCCCGGTCGGCAACATTCGCTTGCTCGTTATTAAGGAGTTTAGATTTTGGTATAGCTGGGATAACTGTTTCCCTGAGCGGGCACATTCGCGCCTTGGGACTGATTAATCAGCGGCTGCTGCTGCTCGCGTGTACGCTGAATCTGCTTGAACAGCGAATAGATGCCGCAATAAATGTAGATATGCAAGCCTAAAAGAGAACAAGCAATGCGCAGTTAGTACAGTATACAAGGAACACATATATGTGCATGTGTGTATATACAGTTGTATATATAACAATAAGCGCACGATAAGCAGCGGCTGTAATACATGTGTACACAGAGCCGTCAAAGCAGGCTATCAGTATGACAGATACGTATGAGTATGTGTACACATGTGCACTTGGCTGTGTGAGTGCAAAATTAAGATTGCATTGAGTTCCCCAATGGGAAACAATATTGTGACTCACCAAGCCCAATGAAAGTGACTATCAGCACAGGAACAATACGATCGATCTGGGCACTGGACAGCGCTAAGATCAATACGACGAAATTATATATAATGCTTAATATGAGTCCAACGCCAGAGTTGATCAGCCAGGGCAACAGCATCAGATGACGTTCCTGCATTAGAGTAAAAGAGACGGACATACAAATGCACAATTAGACAAATCGAGAAAAAAATATATACGTATTTATATATAATAGTATAACAGAACACATGTGCAGCCTCTCTGCATCACTCACCTTCATTGTGCCCAGGATAAGCATGGCCGATGCCAACAAATTTAGCACAAAAATGCCCAAGTAGACGCTGCACGACACGATTAAGCCTGCAAATATACAATTTAATGGGAGTTTTAATGCACTTTGCACTTGTCGGTTTTCCCCATAATGCACTTACCCATGTGAATTTCATCATATTTCGCTGCGTCTTCAGTCATGTTGCCCACAATGCTGCGAGCAATCACATCGGCGTTCCCCAATATGGTGGACAAGAGAATTGTCAGCACAAAAGAGGACACAACACCAATCCATCCGAGGACGACGCCGGCGGTGCTTAGGCGCATGCAGCACACCCTTTCCATCATTTTCAACGTTTGTTTATCACAAAATTTGATATAAACTGAATTCAACAAACCAGAAACAGAAAATATGTAATGAGTAATGAAATCAAATTCCAACGCAAGCACACACACACATACAGTATGTCAATAAAGTGTTTTGACTAACGAAAAAAAACTAATTTTTTGGGTTTAGTTGAAAATAAATGTACCTAAAAGTGAGAATTTTTTTTCAATTCTAATTTATTTCGATTCTATATTTTTCCTAGAACTTAATGGCAAAAAGAATTGTTAAATAACATTACCCAAACATTTTATAAAATTAAAAAACTAAAAACATTCAAATTTTATGCTGTCAATAAAGTGTTTTTACACGAAACTTTATTACTAAATAACAATGTTAAAAAAACAGGAATATTTTTTTTTAATACTTTGTGTGGCTGCCATTAGCGTCACATACAGCCTGCAATCGCCGTTTCATTGAAACAATAAGGTTTTGTATGTATGTTTCTGGAATCTTCTGCCATTCTTCCAGTACAGCAGCTTTTAAATCAGTTTTTGATTTTGGACTCCGCTTTGCGACTTTTTTTTTCAAATATGACCACACATTTTCTATTGGATTCATATCTGGACTTTGTGGTGGAGTGTCTAACACCTTTCCACAGTTGTACAACAGCCAAACTCTTACCATATGAGCTTTATGCTTCGGGTCATTGTCCTGGTAAAATTTAAAAATTGGCTTATTGTCCTCATAGAATCCAAATTTCTGTGCACTACTGACGAGATGTGTCTGTAAAATGCTCAGATATTGTCTAGCATCCATGGTATTCTCAATGAAGGTCAAATCTCCTACACCCTTGCTCGAAATACACCCCCACACCATCACTGATAGTTTTCCGAATTTAACGGTTGGAATAATATTGCGGTTTTCCAACGCTGTTAGTGGCTTTCTCCAGACTCTGGATGGCCCATCGTTGTAGAATAGCATCATCTTGCTTTCGTCACAGAATATGACGTTACTCCAAAAATCGTTCGAACTATTTACATGGACTTGAGCGAACGATAGCCGCTTCAAAATATTCGCCGCCGATAGTAGAGGTTTTTTCCTGGCAACTCGTGATGTGTAGTCATTGGAATTCAGTAATTTTCGGACAGTTTCATGTGACACATCAACACCACTTTCTTCCTTGAACTCCTGAGCAATATCCCTAAGCGAAATTTGTGGATTTTTCTCAATTTTTCTCAGAATTTTTCGCTTATCTCTGTCAGAAATTTTGCAGGGTCGACCACATACTGGCTTTGCCTCTAGCCTATCTTCCTTATTGGCTCTGTTTAATATGTTGTATATCGTTGCTTTTGATAAATTAAACATATCAGCCAGTTCCGAGACTTGACGTCCCATCTGATGGTTATAATACACCAGCTGAGCGACTTCAAAAGTTGTTCTTTTTCCTGGCATTTTATTTTTCATAAAATTAAAGCAAAACGTTATAAATTGCAATAGAAAATGACAAGAAAAGTCGAAGACACAAGAGAAGCCAAAACGCATGGGCCCAAATCTAACGGGATCACCCAAAAGAGAACGGCAAAACAATTTACCGTAGCTGTAAAAACACTTTATTGACAGCATAAAATGTGAATGTTTTTAGTTTTTTAATTTTATAAAATGTTTGGGTAATGTTATTTAACAATTCTTTTTGCCATTAAGTTCTAGGAGAAATATAGAATCGAAATAAATTATAATTGAAAAAAAATTCTCACTTTTAGGTACATTTATTTTCAACTAAACCCAAAAAATTAGTTTTTTTTTGTTAGTAAAAACACTTTATTGACATACTGTATACACTTACACAGAACTTCGTTCAGTAATTTGTAGTTGCTTCCTACACGTCGCAATTGAGAATGAATGCAGTATGAGAAATGCGCAGCAACGTTAACTGTAACTGGCAAGATTTATAATGGGATGACACTGTCGTATCACAACCAAAACAATGATGCTGTGCCTCTTGCGCAAACTGAGCACAGAAATGCGGTGAACTAGAAATCGCGTACAAGTTCATTGAATCATTTATTTTAATGCTTTAAAATCGTACTTTTTTTTTGTTTGTACCCCGCTCCGCCTAAATTTAATAACAACAATTCACTTTCATCAGCACAATTCAAATATATAATTATTATTAACAGTTACATTTATCAGCGTGACTAAGACGTGACTGTATTGCCAGACTGTTGCAAAAATGCTTTTGCTTGTTTAGCGAAATTTTTAAAAAAATGAATAACTGTTATATTTGTGTTATATGAACTGTGTGTGCATTTTACACATAAAATTGTTATAAACGCCTCTCAGGGGTACCGTAAACACGCTCATTTACTGTACTCCTGACTCATGACACACATATACATATATACATGCTAATGCACGCTATACCCATCTCTATTGCTAGTTGGGGAGATGAATGTGGGGCGTAGCAGAATGTGGAGACGCGTCAGTTGTCAGTTGTTGTTCGCCTGTTGCGCGCTTCGGTTGTGTTTGAGTTGTGCGTCGCGATCCGTTCCGTTCCGCTTCGATTCGGGAAAAACTGAAAACTTTGTCAACTTTGCCGCGCACACTATAGGCCAGGCCTTAAAATGAGATTCGAGCTAACCGTAGACCGTGGACCATGCGATACAGAGCTACGTAGCTGGTGTCTGGGCATAGCTATCTATACGTTAATTTCCATAGCACTAAATACGCTATTTGCGCCGTCTGGTGAGTGAGAATATATGTATTTTAAGTTTTTGTGGCCTTCTATATGTAAATCTACATATGCTACAACATTCGTTAAATTTTATGTTCACATGAATATGTTTTGGTTTCTACGCAAATACACTTCCAACGGTCATACAGTCTACATATATATATATATATATATATATGTGTGTGTGTATGTTTCAATACATACACACAAACACCTATATACGTAAATATAAAGTATGAGCTAATACTTCTCTATAGAAGGCGTTTCGAAACGTGTTCTCATGACAAGGGGCGAGCGTTTTATTTAGTTCGTTCAGTTTTTCGTTTGTTGTTTTTTTTTTTTTTCAAAATTACATTGATAGTTTGGAATTTAAACGACTGTGATGCCAAGTTTGAATCAAGCGATGATCACACAGAGATTAATTCTTATTTTCTAGCTCTGACTTTTATTGGATTCGCAATTGCGGTCATTGCCAATGTTTGCCTGCTTTTTGGCTGCCTGCGGGTAAGTTTTCAAAAATATATACATTATATTTAGCTTTGATATTTCCGGTTCGAGCAGTAGCACTTTCTTTGTACGCCTGATAAGTCATATCTAGAAGTTAAGATTGCTCTTAAAAATGTTCTACACTCTGTTGACTGTGTGAAGAAAAATGTGCACAACACACACACACACACACACACGCACACACACATACATGCATACATATACAGTCCTGTTATTGAGAGCAACAAGTGTTAAATTTGCAGTTCTATATATTCTGTTCCCACAGGCAAAGCGGGCATATAGGTTTCGTTGAGTAGACATCTGTTCGTATGAATTGAATTTAATTCATTGCCCATAACACATTTGGTATAACAGTTGCGGTCACGCCTACCGTCACACTCGGTTAGTTTACCTATAAATATATAGGTATTTACATGCATACATACATATATATATTTCTCAGTATTTAAGCGCTGCAGTTCGATGATATCAGAGAATTCGGCATTTTCGCAACAACTGTGATGTCACCGAATATTATTTTTAAAAAATTCGAATTCTATTCAGAAATGGCAGCTAATATTTCTTATGGAAATTTGATATTTTGAATGCCAACCCGGTTAATACCCTGTTTTTTTCATGCCAGTTAACACGTGTATCTTTACAATTGAGTAATCTGCCAATTGAGTTACGAGCTTAAAAGATTAGGTTAGAAATATATTTGCTACTCCCTTGCCGCAGCTTGTACCAAGACTTTCATAGCCTGCAGCTGGTATTAAAACTGACTACAGGGTATTTAGCAGTCGTGCCTACAATATTTTTGCTGTATGCATTAATTATACTAATTTGCTAATGATAATAAACTTTCTACATCTTACAGCTGTTAACATATGTAAATTGATAAATGAAGATCTATTCTTGATTCCCCTTATAGTATAACCATGTGCTGGTCGGGATCTGGCTGATCTACGCCCTCTTAATAGCCATCAATTTTCCGTTTGCCGTATTCGGTACGATCTTCCATTTTGGTGGCTATCGCGAGGCGACGGGCTTTAACAATGTCATCTTGGCGCTGCTCTTTTACATTGTCGTGATGCGTAAGTAGCTCCTCGAACTTCTGATCCAAATAAATTATATGTGTATATCTTCGTTTCAGTTATTTGCTTGTTCTGCGCACGCATCGTGTACTCGTACCACCTGCAGCTGAAGAATCGTCAGGGCAGTTCGCCGCAGCATTCGGTGGTTGTTTGAATCGACCAGGTGTTCGCATTTCGTGTGAAGCTCTCCTCATTTTGGTTGCATTTTGTCGGCAACTGTTTAATTTAAGAGTTTACCGTGTGCCTTCGTTTTATACATATTTATATATACAAAATAAATATTTGTAATTAAATACTACTAGAGCTCTATTGAATTGCAATTTGTCGTTTACTTCGGCGCAGCTATCAACAGTTGAAATATACACATACATACATACAGGTTGCTACTAAGCTAAACATTTCATAGGACTTACTCAACAGTTAAAACATAATATTCATTAATACACATAGTCGGCTATATATATATATATACTATACTGCACTATCTAACTAGCTATCGTATCGCTCGGCTCACTCTCTAAACATAAAATGGAAAGTTGGTCTTCTTGGTTGTCTGCATGAAGCTCGTCTCCGCGTTCTGGCTGCTCAGTTTCGCTTGAACCGCCGCAAAGATGCGCGCCGTTTGACCGTTGCCGCCCAGATTCAGCTCCAGCTCGAACTGTGTCAGGCTTCTTGTCTGGATGTGCGCCTGCGTCGTCTGCCTGTAGGCCGCGACCAGTTTTCATCTGGGCGTTGTGATGCTCGGCAATTTCTCAAGAAAATCTTGGGCCAAGACATCTTCAATCTCCTGTAGGCAACTGGCCACATTCTGCTCCGTATCGGCATAGTTGCACGGATTGGGGCAGCTAATGCCCAGCGTGGAGAAGAATGGATATAGCTCCTGCAACGACTGCAGCTGCTGGAAGCCCAACATCAGGTGACGATTGCGCGCACGCTGCAAGAGCTGTCAGAGGATTAATTTGTTACCCACAACTGACTCAACTGGGATGCCACTTACCGGCGACTGATTAGTATATTTCATGTCCATGAGACGTGCCACGCGCCGCACATGCGGCACATACAGTGCATTGGGCAATGCGGCCAGATTCTCAATGCTGCCATTGGGCAGCGGCAGCGGCACCACCTCCTCGTGCACATCGAACTCGGTGCCCACAAAAGCCCAACGATACATTTGGAAATGCGGCAGCTTCGTGGCCGGCAGCACACAGCCCAGTTCCAGCAGCTTGCACGCCTCCAGCTGCACCGAACGCCAGTGTTGCATGGGCGTCTGGGGATTGATGCCATTGCTGGCACTCGAATTGGAAGACGACCAGGAGACATCAATGCCCGGCAGCAGGCGTGTTTGTTGGCTGTAAGAACAGTTTAGAGGGTATATATAAACATTTATATTGTTTTGCACCTATTTATCTTCCATGAGAATGGATTCTCTGAGAATCCCCCCTTACGCTAAATAGACGCACCTGCGCTCATCGCTCTCCGACTTGAGTTCCTGTTCCATTTGCAGGAAAACCTGCACCATTTCAGCTATGATGATGGGCCACAGCGAAGTCACATGATCGGGTGACATGCGCAGCAGCAGCACACGGAAGCACAGAAACACAGCAGCCTGCACAGAGGGACCCAGCGGGACTAGACGCAAACTGTTGGCCAATTGCTCTGCAAGCAGTTGAACAATATATTATAATACACGAGTTCCACAAGTGCTAACACTGTAATCCTACCCTGAATATCCGGCATATACTTGTTGTGCTGATCAAATTCGCTGCAGTAGATAACAAAAGCGAGACGCTTGAGCAGCATGGCGCGTAGCTCGTACTCCTGATCGCGGGAGGCGAAAATGTTGAGGCTGCCCGCCTGGGATAGGCTGACGCGCGTCATGAGCTCCCGGAATGTGGTATTGTCGTAGGTCATTAGGCTGTCCATGATCTGGCGCCAGAAGGGCAAGCATGAGATGTGCATTTGAAAGAAAGCGTTGTCCAGCAGCAGGTCGAGCATATCCTTGCGCCACGCCTTTCGCGTATACTGATAGCCACTGAGGCTGGCCAGCAGGGCGGAGCAGGCGTAAAAGAAGGGCACATTGCGTGCCGTGTGATTCTTCAGATACGGCGTTATATTGTAAAGCAGCGTCGTCACAATGGTCACCACCTTGTCCTTCTCCTGCGAGCCATAGGCTACGTCCAGCAGATTCGAGAGTATGCCTGCAAGCACGCTCTGCGCCTGCAGCGAATATTGTTGTATGCCGCCGCCCAGGCTGTTGTCCTTGGCATGGCCATCGGTGTCCTCCTTGACGGCCAGATTGCGTCGCAGCCAGGTGGTCTGTTCCAGGCAGGCGCCCGCGACGCTGGACAGCGATTCCACCAGACGCGCCGTGACATCGTGCAGCTCGCGCACCTCCTTCTTGTCGGGGAAGGGCATCTGGGGACAGCGCTGCACAAACTCATTGAGCAGCATCAACAGCGCGAATTGCGCAGGCGGCGTCAGATTGAGTCCATCGCGGATGAGCACCAGCAGCGAGGCCCAAGCATCGGCCAGCTGTGGCGCGGGCGCAGATCTCATATAGAAGTAGAAAAGCTCCAAGGCGCTAACCTCAATGCTCAGGTGAGCGGGCGGCCGGTGGATGGGCGGCGGCGACTTGACCACCTGATGCAGGGTCTGCACAAATGAATCCATGGGCATGACGCGTATGCTGGAAACCAGCGAGACAAGGCTCAGCTGTGCCGCGCACGCTTGCAGCGTGGAGTTGCGCTGGAACTGCTCCGAAATGCTGGACGAGCTGGAACTGTTGTTGTTAGAGTTGTTGCAGCCACGCTGCTGCCAGGTGACAGCAATGGCAGTCAGGAAATTGCATCCATGATGCAGAGAAACGGGCGATAGAAACTCCAGCAACTGCTGACGCACCGGACGCAGCTGACCCAGTTCACTGTCCCAAATGGCCGCCACACTGGTCATGATGCGCGGCAAATGTGAGAGGACCGCGTTGCGTGCCGCCTGCAGCTGAGGATTGCGCGGCGCTGTGGCCGTGGAACTGGATTCACTCGCCGAGAGAAACGAGTGCACAATACTATTGAGCAATTGGCCCGTGCTGGAGCTTTGCGCCGCAACGCTCGTCTGCGGATAGGCCTGGTTGAACAGATGTGAGAGAGCCGTCTGCTGCGTATTGTCCAGCAGGCAATAGTGACAGAGTATGGTGAGTGCCTCCAGCTGGGAGAGCACATAGTCGGGCGGAAAGTGGCGCTGCTGGGGCAGCGAGAGTCGCGCCAGACGATCCAGATTATTGCAGAGCTGATGCACCACGCTGATGACAATGTTCGTGAGCGAGCCAAAGCTGAAGCAGTTGAGCGAACTGGTCACCAGATCCGTCCAGTTGCGATGCAAATGGCGCAGCCGCTCCTGCTGCAGTGCGCCCAGCACGGCGGCCAGGAACATGGGCTGCTGACTGATCAGACAGTTGGGCAAATATTTGACATTGGCGGCGGCGCCCTCGGCCAGCCGTGTGGGCGAGGCATTGCCCGAGGCATTGCTATCATCGGCAGCGCCTGCGCTGGGCGTATCCTGACGCAGCTGGTGCACCTCATGCTCCAGCCTAATGACAGCCAACAGCAGACGCAGCAGCTGCAGCTGAAAGCAATCCGCATGCAGTTGATCATCCTGTGGATCATTAAAACTGAGCACCTGATCCGCATAGCTGCTGCTGCCGCCGGTTCTGCGCGCATAGCTGCACACGGAGCTGTTGAGGCAGTGCAGCATGACCTTTTGCAGCTTGGCGCGCGCCAGCAGATCAGCTATATAACAGGCCAGGCCACGACCCATGCCCTTGACTATATCGATAAGCTCCGTGCAGATGAGCGCCAGCAGTTCAATGCTCTCCAGCTGAATTCGACGATTGTTGACCACATCCTGCAGCGTTGGCGGCTGACGTTGTGCATCCAGCGACTCGCGCTGAAAGTAGCCGCGCGCATAGAACAACAACAACGTGACCAACAGCTCCAGCTGCATGCAGCCTCGATAGCCCTGGGCGTACTCCGAGTTACTGACGCTGCCGGCGAAGCCCTTGCCCGAGATGCTCTTGCGATGTCGGATGAGCAGCTGCTTCAGACTGCCGCTGCTGAAGGATGTGGTTATGGACAGGCACAGGAACGTGCGCTTGTCGCAGCAGATGATGTTGCGCAGCGTTTGCAGCGCGTAGAGCGTCTGTCGTGTGTCATAGATGGCCAGATAGAGCAGCAAGTGGTTGTGATAGAGATTAGCTGCATCCGTTTGTCGCGAGGTGCCTATGCCCAAGGAGCTGTTGCTCTTTGTGGAGGAGCGTATGCTGAGCTGCTCCTCTGCAGCCGCTGCCGCCGCCGCATTCTGTCGCAAAATTTCCACATTTTGTTTGCTTTTCTCGAGCGTCTTTTGCCAGTCCGGCTGCAGCTTGCTGGTCTCCAGCGACAGACTGCGTCGCTTGTCCTCCACATTTATGGTGTTTTGTGTGTTCGCTTCATTGCCCAGCTCAGCCTCCTCCTCGCTGTGCGTGGCCGCCGCCTCTGTGTCCAGCTGCTCGGCCAGATTGCTGTGATTGCTGTCCGTCGAGGTCTTGGAGATGCAGCTGAGCCGCTTCTTCTCGCTGCTGGTCAGCAGCTTTTTGCGTTTGCGCAGCTCCTTGGCCAGCTTTTTGCCCACGGCCGCTTCGCTGAAATACTCATCCGCTGGCAGCGCGTGCTCGTTGTCCGGCGCCGGCGTCTGCTCCTCGGGCTCATTCAGGCTGGATCCACCCGGCGTCTTCTCCCGCGTCAAACGATACATTTTGCGGCTCTTTATGCGCTCGTGCTGGGTTAGCGCCTCGGTGACGCGCTCGCAGTCGCCCACAAAACGCTTGACATCGTCGCCGCCGCCGCCCGCTCCGCTGGAACTGATCGTAAGACTGTCCTCCTTTTCAATGCTGGTCTCGCGCAACTCCGAGTCCGACTCAAAATCGCTGCTTTCCGAATGATCGGTGATGTCCTGGTCGAAGTGCAGCGATGGCTCCGGCTCGGGTGCAGTCTGCAACTGCGCTGGCTCACTCTCATCCATGGCGCTGGCCAACTTCTGCTCGAGCGGCGTTTGCGGCGCATCTTTGCCAGCGTTGTGCACCAGCTCAATGCGTGGCTCCTCCAGATCGGTTTCATCATCGAAATCATGCGCATTCTCTAGAGGATTTATGATCAGACCAATGGTATTGATATCCTGTAATGCCTCGCTTGCCAGCGGTGTTTTGTCGCTCACGAAATTGGATGTTTTATTGGTTTTACCGCTGAGCGTTACCCCAAAGATCTTCTTCGGCAAATGCCTGATGGGGCTCTTCTTCTTGCCGCTTGTGCCAACGCCGCCGGCGGTGCTGCTAGCCGCTTCCATGTGATGATACTTAACGTTGCCCTGCTCCGAGCTTATGGCATAGACATCACGCTCAAAGGCCGGCGCCTGATGATCCTCATCGCAGGCCTGTTCCGTTTCCGCTGACTCGCGATACAGCTGCTGCATGTGAACAATGCCCACGCGCTTAGAGCTGGCGGAGAGCAGAATCTTGTACAGCGGCTTTGTTAGACGCGCCAAATCGCCGCGCAGGAGCGAAGCCTGCAGCCAATTGGTCACGAATGTGCGCTCGGACATGTAGTGCGGCAACGCGAGCGTATCGAGCACCTTGAGCAGCGTCTTCTCGAAACCACGCGTCATCTGCTTTTCTCTGCCCAGATGCCAGAGCAGCTCGAACTTTTTGTAGCTGCGCGCCTGACTCTCGCGCAGACGCTCCATACTGGCCGTGGGACACAGCAGCTGAGCATCTGCCACACGCTCCAGCTGGTAGCTACGCAATGCGTTGCCGGCACCGAGTCCAGTTTGGGCTTGTGCCTGAAGCAAATGCTGGGCATGCATCCGATTACCTATGACGGATTCGACTAGTCCTGACTCCAGGCAGCTATGCAGCTGATGCAGCAGCGCTGATATTTGTGAGGGATCAATGCCCGGCGTGCCCAGATAGTCCCACAATATGGAGGTGACCAGCTGAAATACGCGTGTACGCTGCTCCATGTAATTGACGTGCCCAAATTTGAGAAGTGGCAGCATAACCACAAATGTGACGCCTGGACTCGTCGTGTGCTCGATCTGTGAGCGCAACAGGCTGCAATAAAAGAGCTGTTAAAGTTGGGCATGGCCTTGATATCAAGGCTATAGCTACCTGATAAGATCAAAGAGCGTGGTAATTGCAGCCACCTGCAGCTCCTTATCACTCTGCGCAAAGCAGGCCACCAGGCACAGCACCTTTAGCCAATTGGGCAGCTCCGGCTCTGCAAAAGATAACAAAGGCTTAGTTAAAGTAAATAGGGCAGAAATAGGTTCCAGGTTGCAGTTACCATTCTTGTCCAGCACAATGTGCTTATTGCAATTGGGAAACGTTGACATCTCCACCAACAGCGTGGCGGCCAATTTGACGGCAGAGCGCAAAGCCGTGCTCAATTGCAGCTCGGACAGCTGTTGCACACTGCGCTGTGTCTGCCCGTCGACTAATAACTTTTGCTGCGGCTCCTCGGTGGCATCACTATCGCTGCTCAGTTCGCTGGCGCTGACAGTGGGCAGTGATAGATTAAGTAAACGCTGCAGCTGCTTGGAGCGCGGCACCAGATCCACGCGCAGCAGGCCAAACAATCGCTCGATTTGTGACTCACGGGCCGCGCACTGATGCTCCAGCACCTGCTCCACCATAAACAGGCTAGAGCTATGACTGGAGCTGCGCTGTAGTTGTACCTTGATTGCGCATTTATTGCTGCTCGAGCCTAAGTCGGAGCTGTCGGAGCTCGTGTCGATTTGCAGCAATTGGCGCGCCAAATAAACCTCAAAGAAGATCTCGTATTGTCGGATGCATTTCTCCAGAATGGAAAAGCCGCGCTTTTGTGTAGCTTTGGTCTGCTCATCGTCTAGCTGAAACTCTGCACAATGTTCCGGGGGAGCACTCTTGGGCGGCTCCTCGCCCGCATCGTCGGCGACATCAATGGGCGTCGGATTACTAGGTGCAATTACAATATCCTTAGGTCGCGATTTCTTTGGGCTGCTGCGTGTAAAAGGCATCTTGGCCTTGGCCTTGATCTTCTTAATGCTGCGCGGCGTGTCCAAATCTGAGGAGGACTGCTGACCTGTGTCCGAGGCGCTTATCTGCAAAATTGACAGTCATATTAATAAATATCTTAGAATCTGGCGCAAAGACTTACATCCTTGTCTAGCTCGGAGAGTCGTGAAAAGGATTTCGCCTTCTTTTTGGGACTGTGCCGCACCACGCTCTGATTGGAGGCAGAGCGTCGGATAAGCTCTTCGTCCTCGGGCTCCGCACACTGAGAATGCTCACCAAATTGATTCAATCGGGAATCTGATTTACTTTTCTCCAGCGCATTGGCTTGTGTGGTAGACTCCAAAGTGTTGTTGCTGTTGCTGCTGCCGGTGGCATTCACGTACTTCTCATCTGAGCCGGAGTTGCTCTGCTCCATAAGCTTATTCAGTTTAATTGGGCTTCTGCAGGCACAATTGAAATAGTAAAGTTAGCAAAAGTGCGTCACATTTATCTTAAAACTCTTAGTTACTCACGTAATCATAGGCTGCACGCGGGACACAATCTTCATGCATAGCTTCAGGGCGGCGGTGATCTCATCACTGCTTAAGCAATCCATGTGCAGGGAGAGCAGCTGGGTAATGGCTAGAAACACTTTGGGTAAGTAGACTCGAGTGGTTTCCGTGTACATTTCAAGTGAAATGGTCTCCAGTAGGAATTCGGTGAGCACGCATATTTCCAGCACACACGGATCACCGGAGCCAACGATGCTGGCGAATTTGCCATCGCTATTGGACTGGACAGAGCTGGGCGCCTGCTGGCAGGCGCGCTCAAACATGTTGGTCATGTAGCTCCAGATGTAGGCCGGATCGAAGGTGGCAAAGAGCAGATTGGCCGACTTGAGCGCGTCCGCGTTGCTGCTAGAGATGTACATGGCGCGTATTATGTCATGCAGAACGAAGTCTAGCACGGCGCTACCGATCTCCGCCTTGTCCAATAGTGAGAGCATAATGCGATACGGCTTCAGATCCATGGGCTGGCACTCCAAGCTCAAACGTAGCGTGCTGACCAGTGCGCTAATAAGTATATGCCGGGAATGTGTAATAAAATAGGGCTCCTCTTTTTGTCCGTCCACTGGCGCAGAGTCTAGCGAAAGCGTGTCATAGGTGGGCGAATTTTTGGTTACCTCACTGGCCAGCAGCCAGGAGAAGAGTCGTCTATTTAGCGACATATCGCGCCGCAGTATTGTATTCAAGCCATTCGTGACCAATAACACCAGCTGATCCTCGTCCAGCAGCTTGGTGTGCATGGGAAAGCCCAGCAGCAGGAACTCCAGCGTATTGCGCTGCACCAATATCACAGAATCGTTGAGGCAGGCGCACAGCGCCGACATCATGATCTCCCGATTGTGACCCATTATGTATATCTGTTTTTGCATGTCCAGGCGCTTGTTAAAGTGCTCCAGCAGGAAGGTAATTGCCGGCAATCGTATAGCCGCATTATTAGCCACCGATTCCCACAGCACTGTGTAAAAGTGCATGGGATTGACTGCGAGGCACACATTCTTTAGCAGCGCACTTATGCGCTCAAAATGATCCAGACCACAATCATAACCAGGCAGCACACCACTGAGGAAACCGCTCAGCGCCGGACGCAGCTTATCGCCCAACGGCACAAAGTATGTCTCATAGATTGTTAACAGCGCCGGGCGCACATTCATGGCCGCATAGCCGAGCAGTGGAAAGAGTCCGGCCCTACAATATGGATAAGAGTTCATATAAAAAGCTCTTATACGTTGTCAAGGCTCCAAATATACTCACCCATATATAAACTCTGTGGCCAGACGTTCGGGTCCCGTCTTGCTGAATATCACCGAGTATGTTTCCAGCGCCTTCAGATGTACGCCCGAGGGCAGGGCGGGGTGCATGCACTGTGCCAGACGTTTGGCTATCTTCAGGCGTCTGGGTATGACCTGGTACTGCGTATTACTTGATATTGCCTATCGCAAAAACGGGTTCAAGAAGATTTACAAAAATATTAATAAAGTTGAATGAAGTGCAAATCTGAATATGAATTAATAAATATGTTAAAACTGCATTTTGTTGCCTTTCTGATATTGAAGGAAATTTACATTCATTTTCTTGATTTTTCATAAATCAAACTATATAGAGTATTCCCAATTGTAAGCACCATTCAGATCTTGAGGATATACTATGAAAATAAATAGATATAGACATATTCTTGAACAAAATAAATCGTGAAATCTGACCGATTTTAGGCACTAGAAACTTGAAATACACTTCGGGCACAGTGAAAAATCCCAGAAATACGTTAACGAGAAAACAAAGGCGATAACGCTAGCTAAATAAGCGCATGAATCAGCATGAACCAGCGGAGCAAATGCTGGCTGGCTGGCGACTGTTATAGTTATCAGAGCTGGCAGATGGCGCGTGGCTGCGGCAAATTGTGTTTGGCTATTTGTGGGTCAGCAGCGTACCTTGCTCAGTTTGCCCAGTGCAGCTATTAGGTCCGCCCACTCGCTGGAGTATTCGAAATTGCGCAGCGCTTTGTCAATGTTGGTCATATATTGGCGATACTTTGCCTCGGCCATGAGCTTCTGCTCCTCCAAGAGCGTGTCCGCCGACTCCATGGCGAGCTTTGTGACTGCTGAAAAGAAGCACACACCAAAAAAGAGAAGAAGAAGAGAGCCCAATTGAAAACAACAATAAGAAAATCAATAACAATTAACAAACACTTGTTGCCGCCGACGTGTGTGTCCTTGGGCTTTTACTAGACGCTGGCCGTTTGTTTTAACCGTAATGCATACATATTTAATGAGTGTGGCATCCAGCGCACACGCGTCCGCATCTGCGTCAGCTGCAGCTGCGTCCAACAACAATGGACAAAAGTGTTGAAATCACTAGCGAAAAATATGCTTGTACATGAATGTGTGTGTGTGTGTGTCTATGTGTGTGTTCTTTGTTCACACATCTATTCGGCCACAAATTGAATTTGTTTTTGCTTCATGTTGCATATATATATATTTCACATTTCACCTTATTAACCCCCTTCTTAGTGGGCAGCACAGTTCAGTTGTTGTTGTTTTTTTTTTTATTTTTTTATTATTCTGCTGCTGCTGCTGTTTGCTCTCTCGCGCACGTCACACAATTAACTGCGAATGCAATTACTGTGACGACGACTCGAGACTCGCGACCAGCTGATGACGAATTTTTTTGCAGACAGACGACGACACACAGTGTTTGAACTTTTGTTTATGATCTGCAAGTTACGTAGCGAACTTGCTGTGCAACATTTTGTGTCGCATTTGTTTTCTGCACAAATATTTTGGTAGTTATTATTGATTTACATTGCAAAAATATACGTTTTGGCAGAGCTTTAAAAATCACAATAACTAAAGCAGACTGTTGGTCGAGGTCTTATATTTTCTAATACATTTTTACAAATATCGATAGCGATATATCGATAGATTTGCTTAGCAATGGTAGAATGACACCACATTTTGCGTTCTGTCGATATTTGACTGTCACCAATATTATGTTTAAAAATTGGCATCCACTTGACTTTGTACTTTAGCCTAATATTGGAAATTAAAAAAAAAAAAAAAAATAGACCAAACATGGTATTTAGGAGTTGTACTATGCTTACTACATTTGGGCAATATTTTATCTTATTAAAAACTTGTCTACAAGAGTAAATATCCTTCTACGTGCTGATGATGACCGTTTTTTGTGTAACAGCCGAATCTTGCAATGGCTTTGTGACATCCTGCATAGCTTAATCTGCTGCGGCTGTCTGGCGCAGTCGTTCGATAAATTACAGAGGTGTGAAAGTACGCTAACATCGTATAAATATATCGGTACTCAAAAGAATGCGATACTCATATATCGCACGAATGTAGGCGCCAACTGCTTTTAAAGCAGTAAATTTAAAACACATTTCGCAATCTTTGTTATTATCGGTAATTTGTATAATGCACCCTACAAATGAAACATGTTTTACTAATAATTTAAAAAGACTATTAGACAGGGAACTATATCTTAATTACGTATATTTCAATACACACTCTTGTATAGTCAATGATTAATTAATTTTTAACGAACGCAGCAAAGCCTGCCACCTATCAAAACTTCGCTGATACAAGTGTAGCTTTAATATTCCACGTTCCGAATTTACTATAATATTATTCCTGAAAAATAAGTGCTTGGATTAGAACGAACATTCATAGAAATAACAGATTCTCCAAACTGTAAGAGTACTCATAGCTGTTATTTAACATTGGCAATTATAAACAATCGGTAACATTTAACTATCGATATTTCTGCAATTGCCAAGCTACAATGTCGCCTTGTCGCTTACTCTCAGAGTTGCCTCTCATTTGTCGGCTTGTCGCTCATTCTGTTTCTTGCTGTCGAACCGTGCGGACGCTCGTGCGGATTACGCGCTCTTGTCGTCGCCTTAGCTCGTTTAACGGTCGCCCTCAAGCACGATCACATGCGGTAGTGAATAAAATTGTAGCAAAACAAAACGCCGGTGTACGTCCAATACAAACGCCCAAATGTTCAATAGAGTTAACAACTGAATCGAAGTGCTGTGAAGAATATTACTAAGAAAACCGAGCTTGTGACTTGTGCAAACGTCACAAAAGCAACAAAAGTGCCTTTTCTCTTGCTCTTGCCAACGTACACACATACCAGCACACGAACATACAAATTCGTCTGTTGGTAACAAATACAAGTGCAAACAACAAACGACGCTCTTAAATACGACACATACATACACACGCCTGTGGTTGTGTGCGTGAAACCACTTTTTACCTGGATTTACCTGTTTGTGCGAGTGAAATAAGCCGAAGAGCGGCAAAAGCGAAGAGGTGAACAAAGCGAAGTTGGCAATCAAAATGAATACCAAAGCAAATGAGTGAATGATATTGTTAAGTTAAATGTGAATACTTTTGAATATACGCTAAGAACAAGCGAAAATCAATTAAATAAATTGTATTTTATGGCCCTCTGCTGATTCAGTTCGATTTAATTTGTGCGTCGGTTGCCATGAAAATGCAGTCTAAACAAACGGCGAAGCATACGAACACAAATAAACAAATGTGAGAGAGAGAGAGAGAGAGAGTCGGAGAACGAGAGCGAGTTTAGGAGTTGGAGTTCAATAGAAAACGTCAATTGACGCAACGTGAACCTGTGATCACACACACACACACACACACGCACGCACACATACACAGATATATCAGCATAGAAAAATACTAAAAGAAATACTGGGTGATTCATGAAAAAGTGTATTTTTTTTTTGCCGCGATGATTTCAACTACTTAAATTCATCGAAACATCCCCACCCCTTACTTGTGCTACCACTCCTTTCGACAGAGAATAAAATGCAATAAAATGTTGTTAAAATCACAAAATAACGACAATATCGCGAATCCCGCTCAACAGCAGCCACATCATCAGCATAAGCGAAAATGTCGCTGTCAAGCAACAACAACAACAACAACAACAACACGAACAACTCGCTACAGTTACACCTGCCCGCGGCCACAGCCACGCCCACTGCACAGGCTGCTAGCGATAACGTTAGTTTTAATCATCTCCTCACACTGCACACCCGCCCTGTTCGTCGAAGCACTCCATGCCGGCACCGGCTCCAGTTCGAGTGCTTCCTCGTTCCAGATGGGGGCGTTCGATAGCATTGCGGGCGACAATCGAAAGCCGGCTTTCAAGAACTGCGCCGGCTATGCGCCTTCCGTGAAGGAGGAGCAGCCGGAGAACACGTATGTGTTCACGGTGCAGGCAGTTGATCCGGATCCCAACCAGGAGATACATTACAGCCTGGTACAGTCGGCCAGCGAACGGCCCAAGTTCTCTATACATGAGACCTCCGGCGTCATTATGACCTCGCACATCTTTGACCGCGACGAGCCCATTCACGAGAAATTCGTCTTTGTCACGGTCCAGGCCACGGACAACGGGCTGCCGCCCCTCGACGACGTTTGCACCTTCAACGTGACCATTGTGGACATCAATGACAATCCGCCTGTCTTCAACAAGGCACGCTACGACGAGTCCATGTCCGAGAATACCATGGTGAGTCGCCGCAAATCTTTTGCATCCGCTCCGTCAACCGGGTCAAACGCGTGGACCACGGATTACCGCCGTTTGACCTGCACGACCCATACGTAGCATCCCGTCCAAACTTTTTTGTGATCCTAGAATTCGATTCTCTCTTTTAACGGCGAATTATTTGCAACCCAATCAAATTTGGATACGTTCAAGAAATTGCGGGATTTCAAAATTTTAGGCATGGGATAGGGATAATCCATATAAGGAAGGTTCGATTTTTAGTTAGACTCAAAAACAGCATCAGGTTAGATTGTGGCTTGAACATGTTGGTATATGGAAATGTGAAAATATTATTAAATATTTTATAGTTAAAGAAAATAGGTTAATTTTTGTTAGGGCAAACTTAAAGCTCTTTAAATATTATATTTTGATTAGATCTTTTATTAGTCGTTTATTTTTTTTTTTTTAAATAATTAACAAAGTTGTCGCGGGTTAAAACAGGTTTTCTTTTTAGTGTTATTTCGAAAAGGTTTGCAGCGAAAATTCTCACGAAGTCATAAAGAGCTGGCAGATGAATATTCTCAGATAAATAAGATACATAAAAGATACCTGTCGAAATTGTCTACCTTTACAAATTTTGTGATAAACAAAAATTATAATGCCCCGTTTTGACAGTAGAATTAGTTAGTTGGGGTATTAGCTTAATTGGTAGATGTTTTACGGGGGGGAGGGGGGATCGTTTAGATCAATCTATATATCTATATATAAATTATTATGAACAAGCTAACAAAAAGGTTAAATGGATTGTTTTTCTCGTAGAGCTAAGTTTTCATTTTATATATATTTATAAAAAATGGTATATATAGAAATCTAGGGCATTTATTTTACTTTCTCTTGTATCCAATTTTGAATGTTCTATATTATCGACAGACCCAGGAATAAAGAGCATATTTATAAAAGAGAATTGGCCTTGAACTAGTGTTATTCTTCCACCTGCTATGTGCTGCTTTTGATGGTTTCAAATTGTTGGACAAGCACAAAAAAATCGATCAATAATTAAATACAGTGTTCGCTCGATAAATGCAAATAAATCCGTTTCCCAGAATTCTCCAATACAAATTTAAATGCAAATTAACATTTAAATTAGGAGGAAAAAAAAAACAAACCAATTGCAAGGAAAATTACAAATAATAATTTAATATAATAAATATGTAAAAACTTCTAGAGCAAATCTCATAAATTATCAAACGAAAGACAGCCAAACGAAGAGTTCCAAAGCCCTTATATACCCTCTTCTCACTCAAATCATAAGCAAAAAGAATTTTGGTTTGAATTCAATTTCGAGCTAGCAAAGGTCGCACATTGCGAATAGCCACTGTAGTTAAGGGCACAATGTGTGTTAGTTTTGCATTGGTCAGGTTTTTCGTTTCAGTTCAGGCTGGAGCTTTGGATGGGCTGTTGGGAATTGGCTTGCATAAATTAAGTGCAGGAAAATGTGCATAATTGTGTTCTGGCAGGTGGGCAAGTGCGCTGCTTGGAGCCTGGGGGAAACTGGTCTCTTGTATGGAAGTTGAA